GACCAGACCAGACCAGACCAGACCAGACCAGACCAGACCAGACCAGACCAGAACAGGACAGAACAGAACAGAACAGAACAGGACAGACAGACAGACAGACACACACTGTATGCATTACACAGGAGTCACTCAGGAGTGGTTGTGTTCAATTTGCCGAAAGCTGGACAACAAGAGGGGAACCGCCTGCCGGGTCAAGGGGTTTTCAGTCCTTTTTTCCTTCCCCAGGCTTTCCTTTGCCAAATCTCCCTATTTTCGGTACCTACCAATCTGCCACGTTTTGCCACTCACAAAGACCGACACCACGGAGGCAGCATACCGAGAAGTGGGTCAATTGACACCCATTCTGCTGAACCGAAGCTGTTGCTTGGAAGAGCAGGAAACCACGCAGCTTGGCACAAACTTGCAGGGGCAATTACCTGAAAAGGTGTGGATGACAAAGCCTTTCTGCATGGGATTAATTTTAGGCACGATTTTTGGGTGGATTGGTTGGCCAAACCCCGGGAAAAAAACATCACACAGAACCCTTAGGAAGATGAAAGGCGAGGAAGAGTAAAAGCAACAATTCATCAGAACTCTTAGTTCTTAGAACTCTTAACCCTTTGCCCTTGATTGAGGAGGAAGAAACAGAACTCTTAGTTCTTGAATCCACCACCCCTTGGAACTGTATATTGTCCTGGTTTTTGCAGATCGGATGATTTGGTATCTTCCCGGTTCTTGGGTGAATCCCTTAAAACTGAGAATGTGTTATTTGGTTCCTTGGATCCTGGGAGCCACAAATCCAAGTTCTACCACACTCACCTCGTTTCTTCAACAACGTTCCCGGACCAACCCCAGCTGGTCGTTGGACTTCGCCTCTAGGATCCTTCAAGTGCTCCACGCTGGCGTCGCTGATGCCGCCAGCTCCGCCGAGTTGGGCGCGGGACTCCCGCGCGCCAACTCGGCGGGGGCGCATTTTCTGGTGGTGGCGATGGAAGAGCCGGAGGCGATCTCCACCGGCCACTTGGGCACGGATGGGGAAGAGATGAGGTTCGTGTGTTTTGAGGATTTGTGTTGAAACATTTGAAGGTGTTTGGCTCATATTTGGGAATGCATAAATAAATCAGACACACATGTTTTTTCATGGTTTCTGGCTGGCCCTGTGTTGTTTTGTGTTTTCTTTGGAGCCAGGTTTGTTGGTTTGCATGAACAATAGGCGAACTCACCACAGACAGTCGGCCTCGAATCTGTTGTTGAGAACTAACCGGGGGCTTAAGTGACTCAGTGACAGGCAGCGACAGGTGCAGGACCTGAATTGCGGGTGATGATGCCCCCTCTTTAGAACATTTAAATCGGTTTATGTCTTGTCATGGCATGGCCTGTGTCGGCCAAACCAACATTTTTGGCAACTGTTGAATGGCGGCCAGGTGCTTTACAATTCATTAGGCAAGCCCCACCCGCGTCGCTCATTCGCGAGGAATGATTTTGCAGCAGATGGTGCAGCTCCACTTCCAAGTGTCCGTTTTCTTCGTCCGCCATGCTGAAGAGGTCTGCGAAGTGTGCGAGGTACTTAAGCCCACTCCCACCTTAGAGGGGTCCGCTTTTCATGCGGATCTGTGATGGTTTGAAGACGACCTCCATTGGACCCCTGGGCAGATCTGGCAGTGCACCACAAGACTGACCGCTTGACCGACACCTGCAGGGACGACCGTTGTGGACGACCCGTGGGCCTTCTTCGGGTGGACCACTCGTCGGGCGAACATGGTGCCATGACCCATGACCGCAGATGTCGAGCTGAATGCTTTTGTACCATCTCTCTCTCTCTATATATATATATATATATTATCTCCCAAAAATGAATGGATGGTTGGGTAGGGACATTTTGGGATTTGAAACATGTAGGGGTAACTCCTGATCTTGATGCCATTTTGGCTCAAGATCAGGGCAGGATTTGTTTTGGGTCCCGCCATGCCGCGCATTAGCCGGACGACTCCTGCGGTGTGGCACCCAGGGTCGCGTCGGTGGCACCGGGCGAACAGAGGCGTGGACCCGACTACGATCTCGCCTGAAGTGAGGCGCGCTGACCTGGGGGCCAGGTCGGCGTTCGTCCTGGCTACTCATTGCCGCTGTTGCGGTGCCTATACCGCATCTTGGTGCGAGGGCTGCTACTTTCGTCAGCCCGACACTTTTGGGGCGGTTTGCGCCGAGTGCGACCACCTGTATCTGGTTTGTGACCAGTGCAGGTTTAGAAACGTGACTTGGCAGCAGGGCCATGCCGCGTACATCGAGCAAGGCGGCCGGGACTCCGAGGACCAGATCGAGATCACCGGTTGGGGGGACCGGACCAATCCCCATTTCGAAGATGCCACTGGCCAGATCTCGGTTGCCGAGGTCGCGCAAGTCCTCGGCGTCTCAACCCAGCAGGCCCGAGACCTCATCAGAGAGCACTTGTCCCGTGCCACCCAAGCATCCTCTAGTGGCCCCGCCGCGACAGACCAACCCTAAGCAACCGATGCCCCCTCCAGAGCCCCCTCCACTCCGTCTGAGACGGCCTCGGTCCCTGTCCTATTCTCCTGGGCGTGGCCGTACCCCGGTTTTGACAGTGCGCCAACCGGATCAAGCTATGGAGGCGGAGCTGTTGGAACTGGTTGCAGATCGGTCGGAAGAACTGGTGCAATTGTTTTGCCACAATGGTGTACAAACATGCCAGGATGTGGTTGGTATTTGGTCGCATGGGGGTGAATTGGTGGCTGAGCTGGAACATCTTCAAGGCCCCCCTGGATGCCGAAGAAGCTTTTCAGGTTAGCGCCTTGTGGACGCTTGCAGCTCGTCGAGCCCATGACCACCATCGGCGCGTGGCCCGTGCTGTGACAGGGAACCGCCTGTCGGTCGTGGAGACTACATCCATGGTAGTGGCACCCAAGGGAGCTGGACCTCGTGGCCATGTTCGGCAGCTCCTGGAGACAGGGTTCCCAGGGCGGCCGCCTATGCTGTTGGCTGCGGTGGCTTCTGACCCACACACCAAGGAAGAGGCCAAGCGGGCCACCAAGACCCCGGCCCTCTTCGAGATCCTCCTGAGCGAGTTCCTGAACCTCGAGGAGTTTGGCGTGACTTCTTGGGAGGAGTTGGGTGACCCCGTACGGCTCCAGCAATTGAAAGACCAAATCACGCAGGCCACTGGGCGCCTTACAGAGGCTCGGATTGGGGCCCTCCTTGCAGCTTTGCGCCGCTGGCATCGGTATGCCTCTGAGAAGACATATCGTGTTGCCAAGCCGACCCCTCTGCAACTTCCTCCGTGCAGTTGCTCAAGGGGGCCCTACTGCAGCATCATCAATGTTCCAGGCCTTAAAGTGGTTCCGGGTCACGTTTGGCCTCCACTTCAACGTGGACCACTGGCTTACTCAGCCTTTCAGGTTGCTACCGCCGGACCATCGGGCGCAGCAGAGGACGGAATTGCAACCTTGGGAGCTGGTGAACCTTTTATTGATGATGAAGAAGGCCTCCGGTACACACTTGTTGATTTTTGCATTTTTCGTCTGGGCAGCTATCTCACGTGTGCTTTTTGAACATTTTCAAAGGTCAAAGTATATGGAAAGCCACCCACAATGCCATTTTTGAATGCTCTCAGGGCAAAGCCCGCAGGAGGGGCGCTCGGCCTCCGAACTTTGGGCGATGCCTGAACTGGAGTTTCAAGGGCTTAGTATCCACCGCATTGTGCGGGACTTCGTTACGTTGGAGCTGAACCCGCAGTTGAACTTCCTCTGGCCTGCACTCCAGTTGAGCTCGGAAGACCTCTGGGAGGTCACCGAGGGCACTGCATGGCTCGTGAACAGGAAAATGTCGTGAGGCCGCTTCCTCGAGCTGCTCCGAGGTACGCTCATTACCATGCAGGTGGACCACGATCAGGCCAGGGGGGCTGGTTACAACAGGTTGCGCCGTTTCCTCCCGACTATGGGGCTGGTGTGTGGCTTGCAGCCAGCCAACCAGCAAGCGGTTGGGAATTGGCAGGAAGTCCCAGGTGCCGGGGCCCTGAGCCAGCCGCCTCCACCTGAGGCGCCACCAGTGGAGCCTGCAACGACGGCCTTGCCTGTGGCAGGCCCTGGACAATGTCACACCGCCTGCTCAGGTGGATGAAGAGACTGCGCAGTCAATATCTTCGTCAACTACTTCCTCTTCCGCCTCCGATTGCTCCGCTATGGGCAGCGACCTGGAGGGGATCCTGGCAGAAGAGACGGCCATTACAGAGGCCATGGTTTGTGCAGAGCCGCAGGGTGCACATTGTTAGCGGTGTCGCGACTTCCAGAACCTCAAAGCCGCTGCTCCGGTGAACGTGGGTTGTGAAAATAGCTGACATGTTGGCACAGGACTCATGTTAGAAAGCTTTGGCGCAGGCACGTTGAGTGGGATGGACCGCTGAAAGATCTTCTATCCATGCACTGCAGATGAATCTGGCTATACTCAAAACTCAAAACACTTCGAGCCTGCGAGATTCAAAGAGGTTGTTCAGTCTGCATAATAGGGTCAATGTAAGTATAAGATAATATATAGATGAGCGAGAAGATAAGTATAAGTATGTTTAAGTAAATGATTCTCCGGCGATCCCTTCGCCGAGGCGAAGCCATCAGCCCCGATTCCACCGCCACCATTTTCACCACCACCACCACCACCAGTCCAACAGCAACAACCACCACCACAACAACCAGAGCAACGGCAACAGCAACACGCATCCACAACCACAGCACCCACAAGCATCAAACCAACACGCAAATTTCTCAACAGACTAATGTGTCTTGGCTGCACGGGGGGGGGGGCGGTTCTGCTGTTGGATTGCCAAACCCTATGGGCACGTTTGTGGAGCTCCATATGTTGGTACCGCCCTCAATCATTTGATTCACTTGCGCTTTACAACCTTGTCAGGCGAAAGCTTTGGAACTCCGTTCTTGGCTTTAAGTTCCCTTTACATGAAGCGATGCCAAAGCGATACCCCTGGATGATCAAAACTTCTTTGTGGGGAAGGGAGCGCTGATGTCAATGGAAAGCTCTGTAAGAATACGCCAGGAGGGCTTGGACAAGGGATTCTATAGATATTGATATAAACGCTGGGCCTCTGAAAAATATCTATAGAATGCCTGGTGCTCATAAAAGGGGTGCTATATAGAATGGGAGGGTCTTTGATGAAAAGAAAACACGACATCCGAAATCAGTGTCCAAGCAATGACCTCTATAGAACGTTCTGCCCAGGCCCAGCTAGGCAGCAATAGATTCCATCACGACCCCTGGAAATCATTTTATAGAGTCTCTAGAATGCCATCAGCCAAAAAACATGTGGAAATAAAACATGCACATGTACATCTATAAAACGACAGGGTCTTGCAGCAACATCTCAACAATCATACCTCTATTTTTGCATTTCTATAAAATGCATAGGGCCTGTCCAGGCTCAAAAAATACAGCTCTATAGAATGACCCTCTGATTTTGGGCCCTAGGGCCCTACTTTTTATAGGCCCTTCTCGTACAAGGATGCTTTCTCTCTCCCTCTCTGTCTCTTCTCCCACTACCCATATCCAAAAAACATACAAAGGCATCCAAAACACTGTAAAGCGACATACTTAGTAACCCCGCAAAGATAATTGAAGTGTACATTGTGAAGGTACCCCCAGACATCTGACAACTCTCTTTACTCTACTGTTTCATCATAATGCAAGCATACCTTACACCAGGGCAACTCTACACCTAAACACTCTCGAGCCGTTCCTGGGGCGAGAGACTCACTGCATAAGGGTGTGCCGGGGAGCCCAGCGTCGGATCTCAGGCTTGGGTGGCGGGGAGGAGGTAGATGATCGTCCCATGACAAGCTCCTCAAAGAATTCATCTCATGTTTTGCTTTGGCACACTTTTAAGGTTAGTCCAATCCCAGCTGGCCACACGTTCAATGATGAAAATGTTGGGCTGAGAAGCTGGTTAGAGTGAACCCTCCCCTTCAATTCGGGAAGTAAGCTAAGGTGAGCGTGGCTTGGGGCTTCAGTGAAGCCTGCTGGACCGCTCCGGCCAGGACCTGTGTGCGTGCTAGGCTGTATCGTGCGGGTCTTTTCGAAAGAAACGCAGGTTATTCTCCTTTCTGGTGTACTTTTTTCTTTCGAAACACTTCGTGTTTACTTCACACTTCACACTTCCTGAGCGGATTTGTCCATTGTTTGCGGGTCGGAGTGGTCTTCGTGATGAGGGCGTTTCTCGACCGAGTCACGAGGCTGATTTGGTCGCGCCGATTTCAAGACAGCGCGAAGTCCCTCAGCATTGATTTGTGGTTTGTTGGGGTTTGGCGCAGGTTGCAGCGCTTTGCCATGTTCCTGCTTAGAGACAGCTAAGAGACACTTTCGCGAAAAGAAGGCTCAGGATTCCACAAATATGAAAGAAGAGTTAGCAAAGCGTTCATCAGCTGGCAGAGGCTTTGCGCATCCAGGGTCATGACGACATGACGACTCCAGTTGAAGGAGTTGTGATCTGTGATGTGATCCAAAATCGTTGGCCAAACGCTTGAAAGGTGGCCAGACCGTGCTTTCATCACCCGGCTGGATGTGTGCCAACAGTTTGGAGGTGTAAAGCTCAAGTTCACAAACCTTTGCGAATAATCTCAGGCCAGCTCAGCACATAAGCTTCTTTCCACCATGAAGAAACTCTGAGACGCCAGGGAGATAGATTAGACTCTGATTAGACCATCAGGTAGTTATGACTCAGAACCAGCTCACTCCTCCATACATGAATGCCTTCTCTTCTGCTTCACCCAGCTGTGCCTTGGCTTCATCCACCGCCAGTCTACATGCCTGGCCGAAGACATCCACCCCCGCAGGCAGCCGTGAAGGAGTTCCCATTCGAAAGCAGCCGGGAACGACATCGTGTCGGATACCCTGGATTCCAATCACCGTTGATTTCATGGTTCTTACCGAACAACCATTGTTTCACTAAGGCTTTAGACTTTAGGGCAGCGGAAGCAAAACAGCCGGAGGCAGTCGATGAGACTCTACCGGAGTCCACAATGCAACAGCTCCATAAGGACTTTGCTGCCAAGTATGGAGTCGTGTTAGATGCGTTCTTGGAACCATCTGACGCACTCCGCTCCCGAGTATATAGAGAATTCCGCAAAAGGACAATGACGGTTGTCAGTGTCGCCAAGGTCAGATCTATCCTCCACCAGTCGGCACCCAAGCAACAAGCATCGGTCCGCCTGGGAGCGGGCGTTCAGCTTGAATTTGCCGCTGATGACCACCGAGTGGTCCGTACTGTCGTGGAGTACTACTTCTCTCTGCGCACTTTGGCTTATGCCTGGAGAGTCTTCATGCCCCTGGCTACGGCTATGTCGTATGCGGATCAAGCCCTACAATTTACAATGGAGTTTGCGCAGGGCAGCCTGATTTGGTTGGAAAGGAATGACATCAATACCCGCTCCAAGATGGCTTCTCTTATTCGTCGTGGCCAGACTGGGGCCTCAGCCCTGGAGGAGGCACTACGCCAGACCCACATTGACTGGCGTGCCCCTGGGTTGCAGCCTGCCTTGCCTGAGGCAGGTGCATCCCCCAAACGCCGCTTGCCTGAGAGTGACCAGCCGCAGGAGCGAGGCCCCCCCCAAAGAACGGCGCATGGTCAAGACTGACAAGTGGCCTACCATCTCCATGTTGAAGGGGGGTCAAAAGTTGTGCAAGATTTGTCCAAGCATTGTGTGTCTGGAAGCAGTTTCTCCCAATGCACAGCCAAAGGCTGAGACGTACTCTGAAAGCAGTGGAAAAAGCCGTGCAGATCCTGAACCCTTTTCTTGAGGCGGTAAGGTGTACTAGTGCCCACAAAGTAGCGCAGTCTAAGAAGCCTGCTTTTGTGGCTACCTTGGCATGCTTGCTGCGTTGGCCGAATCGTGACCTGGCCCGCCAACTAGTTCGTGGGTTTGCCATTGTAGGGTCCCTTCCGCCATCGGGGGTGTTTCGGGGTATCCAACAGGCTGACAAGTTACTTTGGCTGAATGGCTGGGGCCTTCAGCAGAGGCAGACGTGCAGCGGTTGATCCGTAGCCGACCCCCGCTCCATGCACAAGAGATTTTGTCAGTCACTCAAGAAGAGATTGTCAAAGGTTTCTGCAGCCCGTTACAAACTATGCAGGCTATGAATGATACCTTTGGTGTTGGTGGTTGGAGAGCCGTGGAACGTTTTCTCATTATTCAACCTGACGGCAAGCAGCGTGTCATTGAGAATGCCCGCAAGAGTGGCCACAATAATCACACGTCCATGCAGGAGACTATTTCGACGGTTAATGTGGGTTTTGTGGCCTCAGTTGCTCGTATGGTCAATACCACCTTGGAAACCCACCAGTGTGAACCCCCAGAGTGGCTTGATTTGCGTTTGAGCACTGACGACCTGCCTGACGCATATCGAGGCCTTCCAGTCCAGGATGACCACTTGCGGTTTTCCAACGTGGCGGTCTTTGTCCCTGACGAAGGCCGGCGGTTCACTACCATGTACGGTTTAGCATACGGATTAGAAAGTGCAGTTGTCAGTTTCAACCGCTTCCCCCAGTTGGGTATTGCGATTGCACGACGCTGTACGCTATCCTTTTGCGCCGCATATTTTGATGATGAACTCGCAGTTGATTTTGTGCACCATGCGGATGTCTCGCAGCGCGGACTCCAACTGGTTTTCAACTTATGGGAGCCCCTCCGCAAGCGGCCAAATCCTTTGCTCCAGGCCGCAACCGTCATTACTTAGGAACATCTGTGCATGTTGGAGACTTCGTTTCGGCGGGTTCTATTCGGTTCCAACCCAAGTTTACGACTCAGCGGAAAGTGCTGGCGAAACTCCGCCTAGCATTGGACAGCAGCCCTTGTGGCATGCCCAGGCCCCCGTGATGTGGATGTCCGGGCTCTACCGTGCCAACCTGTAATTGTCTACTCTGACGCCTCATTTGAGCATGGCAGTTTACGTGTTGGCTGAGTTATTTTCCAACAGTCGAATCGACCACAGGGCTTGACCTGCGTTGTCCCCCAGGAGGTGATTCAGACTTGGGAAGACCGCACACAACAGATTTATCCTGGCGAGACCCTGTGTGGCTTGTTGGTGCCTTGGTTTCATGGGGCATCCTTGTGCCACCAGGATGTCTTGTGGTTCATCGATAATGAAGCAGCTGTGGCTTCCCTTATCCTTGGGTCCAGCTCCTAAATTGATGTCCACACTTTGGTCCAGCTAGCGCATTTTCTCTTTCAACGATTTAGGATTCGTGTTTGGATCGATTGGGTGGACTCGGAGAGTAACCCCTCGGATGGCCTTTCCCGAGATGGGGTTTGTGACTCTTGGACCAGGTCACAACCTTGGGATGTGTCAGAGGTTAACTACCCGGACTCCCTCCGGTCCGTGTGTCACCCTGCACACCTTTCCCGCTTTTTAGAGAACATGGACAGTGGGTGATTTTAGATACAGTGGGTGGTATGTTAAGTTCATCAAACATGACTTTCCAAGCTGGTCCGTGTGTTTACTATCACGACTAATACCCAGTGTTATTTCATAACACTCATTGGCTTACTGT